AATAAAGTCCTGAGGGGGGAGGGGTGGACACGAGGGGACCCCCCCAAACTGTGTATTTCCCCCCAAAAAGCCACCACCACCACCACCACTCCCCCCAGAGTAAAACACGTGCGCGTGCGGTGCCAGAACCAACAACTCTTTACTATGGCAATAGTGAATGGCGGAATGACCACCGCCAAATTAAGGAGTGATGGGACCCATCACGCTCATGTGGGGAGAACGCAGCCCCATGAGGCTCCGCCTTGGGGTGTCCCTCCCCCTTAACCCCCTCCCCCCCAAAAAAACTTCATCACCACAACATGGAATGGCGGTGTGGGCTTTGCCACCGCTCCGCTGTCCCCCTGTTTCTCATTGGCAATGCCAAACATCCCCCCAAGTCCGTCCCCATCCACTGGTGCCCGCTCAGGCTTTATTTTTTGGGGGGGGGAGTCTTGGCTGAGGGTGCTGCCTCAGCTCCTGGTCCCCCACTGTGGCTGGAAGCCCCCCAGGTCCCCCCCGGCTCTGTTGGCCATCTGAGCCCCCCAAAAGCCAGATGAGCAGAAGGAGAAAGAGGAGAGAAAGAAGGAGAAGGAGAAGGAGAAGGAGAAGGAGAAGGAGAAGGAGAAGGAGAAGGAGAAGGAGAAGGAGAAGGAGAAGGAGAAGAAGGAGAAGCAAGGGGCGCCTATCCCAGGTGGACTCGCTGGTGCCTGACGAGGGCCGAGCTAATGACGAAGCCCTTCCCGCAGTCGCCGCACTTGTAGGGCTTCTCCCCGGTGTGGGTGCGCTGGTGGGTGACGAGGGACGAGCTCTGCTTGAAGCTCTTCCCGCAGTGGGGGCAGCGGTAGGGGGTCTCCCCGCTGTGGATGCGTTGGTGCCGGAGGAGGGCTGAGCTCTCCAAGAAGGTTTTGCCGCAGCCGGCGCAGGTGAAGGGCTTCTCCCCGCTGTGGGTCCGCTGGTGCTTGAGGAAGGCCGAGCTGTAGCTGAAGCTCTTGCCGCACTCGCCGCAGGCGTAGGGCCGCTCGCCCAGGTGGGTCCGCCGGTGGGTGTTGAGGTTGGAGCTACGGTTGAAGCTCTTCCCGCACTGGGGGCACTTGTAGGGCCGTTCGCCGGTGTGGATGCGCTGGTGGACCACCAGGTCGGAGCTCCAGCTGAAGCTCTTGCCGCACTTGGCACAGGTGTAGGGCCGCTCGCCAGCGTGCAGCCGCTGGTGCTTGGCCAGGTCCGAGCTCTGGCCAAAGCTCTTGCCGCACTGGGGGC